TACCCAGCCTGAGACACTAGACTGGGGGGAGGGGGGGACAGGGCAGACCCTGGTACCTTGAGCCTTCTCCTCGGGCCCTGAGGGAGCTCGCACTGCTTACGCAGACCCTGCTGAGAACCGATGACCAGGGTCTGTCTGAGTGGACAGCTGCCCAGCCCAGGGTGGGCACCCTCTGGGGAAAGTCCAGCAGCTCCAGTCCTGGAAACTCTGACAGCAGAGAGGCACCCATTGTCCCCCTCACCCCACATCCGCTCTCGCTGTACAGCGCCCCCCCGCCATTTATTCTCTCTAACTGGCCCCCAAATTTTGGTCTCCTGCTTCATTCAGAAGGCGAGTGTGGATACTCTAAATACAACCATGTCTTGGCAGGACCAGGCCAGGCCCCAGAGGGCAGGTCCTGGTCCTGAATTCCTCTGTCCTCTCCTCCCCGCGCATGGCTGGAGAGGACAGAGAGATGCCTGGAGCAGGGGCCAGTGGAAATGTGGGAGAGGCCTGAGGAGCGGGGTCAGGGAAGGGGAAGGAAGGAGAGGCCAGGAGGGTGTTCAGCAGGAGCCCCGGGGACAGGTGTGGAGAGGTGAGGAGCCAGGAGCCGCCAGGGCTGAAGCCAGGAAATCAAAGGACGAATCTTTTGGAGGGAAGACGAGGGTCAGAAAAGGTAGCAAAGAGACAGAAAGTGGAGTCCAAGAAGAGGGCCAAGAGCGAGGGGTGGCCGATGGTGGAGCATCCAAGAGCAGAGGGTGAAGGTGGGAAGATGCCCCCATTCCATCCTCCGCCATCTTTATCCCCTCCTGTTTCCCTCGATGCGCCCCGGGCTGTCGGCTAGAGCTGGTGTCGTTGGCAGAAGACATGGAAGGGCACTGAGGTCTCCCTCACCCCGAGCCCCTGTACCAGAACGGGGGACTTAACCCCCAGGGCGCCGGGAAGCGGCCAGCTCCCCTTGCCTCCTTCCCCCTTCGTGGCTTGCGGTCTCTCTTCCCCGCCTCGGCCCCCAGGAAGTGTGAGTGCTGGGGGTGGTGAGGTTAGGAGGGGGAAGCTTCCCATGGGGGATGGGGAAGGCATGCAGAAAATTCGAGGGGCTGGGCGGGGGGCGCAACTCCATAGATGCCTGGGACATCCCTGGTCAGAGGACCTGTCCTTCGAAGCCCTGCCCATCCTCCAGTGACATGTGGCTTCAGCTCCTTCACCCTGTCTTCCCAACTGGGCAATCCAGATGGCCACGGCCGCTGGCCCCCAGAGGCCCTGGAAAGGGGTGGGGGAGGCTAGGGAACAAGGATTCCTGGGTCCCCAAGGACTTTGGACTGGTTGTCTCATGTCCCCAGCCGCTGGTCCAAGCCACAGGCCAAAGCCCTGGCTTCGTGCGAGAACTTAGCTCCAAAAAACAGGAAGAGAACCTGAGGCTGGAGTTGGGGTGGGGGGTGGGGGTAGAAAAGAGAAAGAAGTAAGGGGGAGGGGTGACCAGCCAAGGCGCCGGGGGTATTGGGAAGAGCCTTCGGTCTCTCCATCACCCATAGCAGGAAAGTGCCCCAGCCCGGTCCTTCTCCTTCCTCACCCCACGCTGCTGCTCCAGGAGAAGCCCAGCCAGGCCCCGCTCGCTCCGGCAGAGCCTAGGATAGGGGCTTGAGGCCTGTGCTGGGGGGGCTCCATGTGCCCGTGTCTCAGGCCCATATCTATTTTCTCCGCCGCTAATCCTGGTTCCGCCTGCTGCCCCCCACACTAAGCCTCACTCCCCTAATCCCCAGGGTGGGGGGAAGGGGGGCCAGCTTTATTCAGCTGCCCTGTTCAGGGCCTCCTATCCTGCCCTTCAGCTAGCTCAAGCCAGCAGTGTTGGCCCTGGTGCCCCCAGCCCTGTGCTGGACGCTGCCTGAGGTCAGCTCCTGGGAAGAGCTCTGGTCTCCTTCTTCCTAAGACAAGATCAGTGCCCTCTACCTTTTGGTTTCTTGGTGGTGGACACACCCTGGCAGGTGCCCTTGGGCACTGAGGGATAGGTGATAGGGGCTCTCACCTTTGTCCCCCTCCTACCTTTCTCACCCGTAAGTCTTCCCCCAACCAAAGATGGGGCAGGCTTGACTCAGGGCCCAGTTTCAAGAGAGCTGCCCACCGGCTTGGCCGGTCTAGCAGGCCTGACAGTGAGGGGAGCCTGGGGGGGTGGCGGGAAAGAGGGGAGCAATGGGGCGGGGCCCTTGGTTCTTCCCCCTACCAGGCAAACAGACCTTGCCTGGTTCCCTGGCACAGCTACCCCCCCAACACCACACACACCCATGCCCACAAGGTCTTAGCAAGAGGGGGCATGCCAGGCTGGGTGGGGATCGGCCGCTTTCATGGGTTGTCAGGGGACTAGCCCTCTGGGATGCAGAGGTGGGAAGGGTGCCCAAGGTGGGGTGGGCACCAGTACCTCACTCTGGCAGAAAGAAGGGGGAGGCCTCCAACCTACGCATCCCTCCCAGATGATGGGCCCAGGAGTGCCCCCTTGGCCTGGTTGGCACCAACATTGTTCCAGGTGGCACTTCTGTTGGCATCGGTGCCAGAGCCCTGGATAAGGGCTGGGGGAGTTTCCCAGAAGCTGGAGGTATGGACACCCTCTCCTGGCCACGTGTGTCCTCTGCTTCTCTTTCCTTGCTACCTCTTGGTCATGGGCATTAGATTTGGGCCTAAGGGGTTAAACACCCACCCTTGCCCAAGCTCAGTGTGAGCTGCATGGTAAACCAGCCTGAGCCTGTGACCTGACAGCTGGGTCAGCCAATGAGCACCCCTGCCACACCACGTTGCTAAGGAGACCAGCCCTGGGGTGGGAGAAAGGAGGCGGTCTTAGCAGCGGGAATGGGTGGGGTGGGTAGAGAAGGAGGGCGAGGGATGGGGTAAGCCACGTGCCTGCTGGTGCCCAGCTCTCAGCCAATGGACAGCCAGAAGAGCCCCACCCATTCCTCTTTAGAAGGGACGGGATCCACTTGGGTCCAGGGGGGTGCCCACTACTGCTTAAGTGGCTTCCACTATTGCTACCCACTTAGTTTTTGTTCCTAAGTCTTGGGGCCATGTGCCACTTGTACCATTTGTAAGGGGGCAGCAAGAGAACCAAAGGAAGCAGGGACAAGTCCAAGACCGATGGTCCCCAGAGAAGGAGGTGATTTAGGGAAGGTGGCCTCTCTAAGGGTACCTAGACATGTGGGTGCTGCTCGCTCAAGCCTCTGTGCAGGAGTCTGGCTGGCGCTGCAGTGAAGGTGGCAGGCATGGAGGCAGGCAGACACGGTGCAGTTCTTTGTCCTGAAGAGGAAATCTGTGGCTCTTGATTCTCCTATACACCACCCCCCCCCCAAAAAAAAAAAGCCTTTCCCCATCAATGGCCAGAGTGAACAGTTGCTAGAGTGTCAGGTCACTAACAAAATGACAAAATATAAGTTTCCTCGGGATCATCTGAGCTAGCCTTTAATATTACAGATGAAGAATAGGACTCCTTTGGAAAGGAAGTGACTTGTCCAAGGTCAGGTGGCTCCTTAGTAGCCCTGCTCCCTCAGGCTAACTTGAGGGAGGGCAGACCCGGCTCCTCTGGCCTCCTCTGGCCTCCTCTGGAGGTGGTTTCTTGGCACGGCCTGTCTGTGTAAGTCAGGGCGCCACTGATGGAGTCAAGCTTTAGGCCACACTTGGTCTCATTTACCTCTCCCCACAACCCCAGGGTGAGCTGGAATTCTCCCATATTATAGATGAGGAAAGAGGCTCAGAGATTAAATCATTTGCTTAAGGTCACAAAGCTAATCACCAGCAGAGTAAGGACTCAAACTCAAGCCTGGCTGATTCCAGAGCCCAGCTCTTTCCAGGCCCCACTCTGTCCCCAGTTGCTCCAGACCCACAAAATGTCAGGGCTGCAGGGCTGAGCCCTTGGGGCCTCCACTCCTACCCTTTCCTTAGACAGTTCTGGAAAGTGGAACACCGAGAGAAATAACTTGCCCAAGGTCATTCAGGAATTGAAGCCAGTCTCCCCACTTGCGGGCCAGACTCAAGCCTCAGCTGCTGTCCCCAGCCCTGCCTGCCCGAACCCGGAGACTCCTTTCTGTGCTCCTGTGATTAGACCAGAGGGAGGATGAGGGTGGAACCTCTACCCTCCAGAGGGGGGGCTCTCCTGGAATGAGGAGGGGGGTGGGGAGCTAGTGGAGGAGGAGGAGGAGGAGGGGAGGGGTGGGACTGGAACTTGGCCTCATGGCGGTGGGGGAGGGGCAGGGGCGATGCTTATCTGTGCGGGGCAGGAAGCACCCTCGCCAGTGTCACCCCAGCAAAGGGTGGCTGCTCCTTGGCCCCATGGGGGAGGGGAGGATGTGGGTGGGGGGGTGGGACCTGTTTCCCATTTGACCCCTAGAAGTGGGAATCTGGGAAGAGGAGATGAACTTTTGTTGGCTGGGGGAGGGGCGGGGAGATGCGGTGCTTGGAAGCCCTCCTCTTATTTGCATAGTGGCTTCTAGGGTACCACATGCTTTAGAGAGGCGCTGGCCATGCCTGGTGTCCAGTGGGAATCTGAACTCCCTCATGGGCTTCTCCCAGGGCTATGAAGAGGCCCCATCACGAAGGCTGTTACCCATTTTCCCAATGACTGAGGCCAGGCCACCAAAGCCCTCCAACCAATTCTCCTAACCCAGGACCCAGCATCCTGTCAGTCCAGTACTTCCGAAGGGATGGGCAATGGACAGATGGACATCTAGGAAAGAGCCAGAAAAGCAGGGTTCCTGCACTCCCAGAGCAGAACAGAGTGACAGTGATTATGAGCGTGGACTCTGGGCCACCCGAGGAATCTGACCCTGTCCTGCACCCAGCCAGTCACTCCACCTGTCTGACTCCCAGCTCCTTATCTGTGATGGGTGATGACCATACTCCAGAGGGTATGAAAGATTAAATGGGCGTCGAGTACTTAGAAAGTGGCATGTAGCCATCCCTCAGCGGGTGTCAGCCTGCGTTGGTGCCCCTCCCTGGACCCCTTAAAGGCTAAGCACTTACCCCGCCCTCTGTTGACCCTACAGGAGAAGATGGGGAGCCCTGAGGATGACCTGATTGGAATTCCATTTCCGGACCACAGCAGCGAGCTCCTGAGCTGCCTGAATGAGCAGCGCCAGCTGGGCCACCTGTGTGACCTCACCATCCGGACGCAGGGCCTCGAGTACCGCACCCACAGGGCTGTGCTGGCTGCCTGCAGCCACTACTTCAAGAAGCTCTTCACTGAGGGCGGTGGTGGGGCCGTCATGGGGCCCGGGGGCGGTGGGACAGCGGCTGGGGGAGCAGGGGCCGGCGTGTGTGAGCTGGACTTTGTAGGACCAGAGGCACTGGGTGCCCTGCTCGAATTTGCCTATACGGCCACACTGACCACCAGCAGCGCCAACATGCCTGCTGTGCTCCAGGCCGCCCGGCTGCTGGAGATCCCCTGCGTCATCGCCGCCTGCATGGAGATTCTGCAAGTCAGTGGCCTGGAAGCCCCCAGCCCAGACGAGGATGACTGTGAGCGAGCCCGACAGTACCTGGAGGCTTTTGCCACCACCACGACCTCAGGCGTTCCCAATGGTGAGGACAGCCCTCCACAGGGGCCACTCCTGCCACCGCCACCGCCACCACCTCGGCCCACTGCCCGCCGCAGCCGCAAGCCCCGAAAAGCTTTCCTGCAAACCAAGGGGGCCCGAGCAAACCACCTAGTACCCGAGGCGCCCACAGTGCCCACCCATCCCTTGACCTACGAAGAGGAAGAGGCGCCGGGTAGAGGGGGCAGCAGTGGAGGCAGTGGGCTGGCGGACAGCTACAGCCCTCCCACAGGAGTCGCCTCACCTACGGAGGGTCCCCTGAGCTATGACACCTATGAGGGTGAAGAGGAGGAGGAGGAGCTGGTGTATCCCCCAGTCTACGGGCCAGCGCAGAGCGGCGGGCCCCCTCTCTCCCCGGAGGAGCTGGGCTCAGATGAAGATGCCATCGATCCTGACCTGATGGTCTACCTAAGTTCCCTGCACCAGGACGCCCTGGCACCAGGCCTGGATGGCCAAGATAAGCTGGTTCGAAAACGCCGCTCCCAGATGCCCCAGGAGTGCCCCGTCTGCCACAAGATAATCCATGGGGCAGGCAAGCTACCACGCCACATGAGGACCCATACTGGCGAGAAGCCCTTCGCCTGTGAGGTCTGCGGTGTTCGCTTCACCAGGTGAGCCTCAGGGGGAGCTGGGGGCGGAGGGGATGCCATCCGAGTGGAGGCGGTCCCAGAGAGGTGAGGGCATGCGTAGGTCCCTGGATTATAGGAGAGGCCAGAAGAAAGCCAAGGAGATGGGCATGGGGAAGGCAGAGTGGGTGACAGCCCTAAAGAGCATCCTGGGACAGTCGAGGGTGGCAGTGATAGGAGTGAGCCAAGGCCTGGGGTCCCATCCTGAATGCTTCCCTCGCCCCCTCCCCCCCTGCCTGTCCCAGGAACGACAAGCTCAAGATCCACATGCGGAAGCACACGGGAGAGCGGCCCTACTCGTGCCCGCACTGCCCAGCCCGCTTCCTGCACAGCTACGACCTCAAGAACCACATGCACCTGCACACGGGGGACCGACCCTATGAGTGCCACCTGTGCCACAAGGCTTTCGCCAAGGAGGACCACCTGCAGCGCCACCTCAAGGGCCAGAACTGCCTGGAGGTGCGCACCCGGAGGCGCCGCAAGGATGACGCACCACCACACTATCCACCACCTTCCACCGCCAGCCCATCCCCTGCTGGCCTCGACCTCTCCAATGGCCACCTGGACACCTTCCGCCTCTCTTTGGCTCGATTCTGGGAGCAGTCGGCCCCCACCGGGCCCCCAGTCTCCACCCCAGGGCCTCCTGATGACGAGGAGGAGGAGGGGGCACCCACCACGCCCCAGGCTGAAGGTGCCATGGAGTCCTCTTAAAGAGGAATGAGTGGCCAGGCTGGAGCAGCACAAGGGCGGGGATCCCCATGCCAAGCAGTGGGAGCAGGCAGGACAGGCGCAGCTGGGGTCAGGGGCACGGAGCCTTACTGCGCGGCAGATTCAGCCCCTTCCTCTGGGTTCCCTCATTCCAGTTCCAAGCTGAGAAGGTTTGGGGGCAGAGGCTCCCCAGATTGGGGTGATCCCCCAAGAAGTGATACATATGATATTATGTATATATTTACAGCTCTATTGTAAAGGTGGGGTCCCTGTCCCCAGCTGCTCCTGGGGAGTAGAAGCAATAATGTATTTGATTTGTGGGGTCCCACTTCGGCTATGCGGGTTTCTAGGGGGCGGGGGCTTGGGACCAAAGCCTTGCCCCCCTCCCATGCCCCTTTGGGGGTTTTGGCTGTGTAAGGGGGTGAAGGACTGCCCCTCCCTTCTGAGACCCCTCCTTCCTGGTTTCTGTTCCCTTTTCCTGGCAGAGAATTATGCAAAGGGGGTTGGCAAAGGAAGGGTAGGTGGGGGAAAGCAAGGTGGGAACTTGAAAGATTGGGGGGACTGGGCCTGTAAGGAAGGAGCCATCCCAGTCCCCCTCCGCCCTGCTGCGGCGCTGAGTCATGGGGTCCTGGAGAAGAAGGGGCGGG